GCTTAACAAGTCCATCCCCTGGCCAGGATCAAGGTGGATGACCCCTTCGGCACAGCCAGTGAAGACGTGTTCCAGTACGAGGTGGCCATGCTCGTGGGAGCAGGCATCGGTGTCACCCCCTTTGCCTCCATCCTGAAGTCCCTCTGGTACAAGTTCCAGCAGGGTGACCAGAACCTCAAGACCAAGAAGGTACGGATCGTCCCAGGGGAGCAGCGTGGGTTTGACACGTCATCCTTCCACCCCTCCTGCTCTGCTCTACCTCGAGCAATCCCTCTCTGCATCCCAGATCTACTTCTACTGGCTCTGCCGGGACACGGGAGCCTTCGCCTGGTTCAATGACCTGCTCGCCTCGCTGGAGCAGAAGATGGCTGAGTCGGGCAAGGCGGACTTCCTCACCTACCGCCTCTTCCTCACTGGCTGGGACACCAGCATTGTGAGTTGCAGTCATGCCTGCCTGTGATCAAGGGGGGGACATGGGGTGGCCCAGTCAGGCGGGAGAATCAGGGCAAGCACATCAACAGCTTGAAATCAGAGGGTCCAGGAGTGGTGTTCGATGGGTGTCAGCATTGGATGCTCCTCCGTGGACTGGAGATGGGCTCAGGGGTGGTGGCAGGGTCCTCACTGCCCCTGCTCTGCCCAGGCCAACAACGTGGCGCTCCGCTTCGACACTGCTGTGGACACGGTGACGGGGCTCAGGCACAAAACCATCTTCGGACGGCCCATGTGGAACAGTGAGTTCACGGCTGTGGCTGCAGCACACCCCAGGTGAGAGCCGGGCAGGGGGCTCAGGGTGCTGGGGGCACCCATCCTCCCTGGTACCCAGCACTGGGTGGGCTCTGCCTGCTTTGGTAAGGGTTGCAGGGACCCCAAAATGCTCTTGAATCACTGAGCGCCCTCCCTGGCGCTGACGTCCCCATGCTGTGTGCAGGTCGGTGGTTGGTGTGTTCCTCTGCGGGCCGGGGGCCCTGGCGAAGAGCCTGCAGAAGTCTTGCCACCAGCACTCCAGCCTGGACCCCAGGAAGGTCAAATTCTACTTCAACAAGGAGAACTTCTAAGTGGCAGCCAGAATGGGACCCCCGTGGGCAGGGGACCATGCATCTCACCTCATCCCCCGTGCCAGAGCATGGCCAGGGGTGAGCATCTCCTGAAGGGTACATGCACTGAAGGCAGGCAGACATGGCAAGACTCCTTCTCCACGAGAAACTTCAGGTTCAAAGCCTGCTCTGCATGGACCCCCACTGATAAACCAGGGGCACGTGCTGCAATGATGATGCTGGAGCAGTGGGAAGCAGCGGGAGCACCCAGCAGGCTGGGCAGAACAGTGGGACAGGGATGGGACACGGCCATGCTGAGCAGGCACTGGGGATAAGCGTGTCCCTCTGGGTTTAAGCAGTCCTCTGCATGAAAGGGTACATTAAACTTGATTTCCTTTGCACTAGAAGCCTCCATGCGAGTACAAAGGGAGCCCCACTCTGTGCCCCCTTGCAGGGCTGCAATAGAAAGCTGGCCCATAGCAAGAGCCTTGGGGTGCAGGGTAAGACACCCTGCTCTGCAGGGGCTCACTGCCACCACCTGAGCCAGCCTGTGCTGCCTGCCAGGCACACACCAGTGCATGGGCTGAAGTCAGTGGGGAGAGCCCCCCTGCAGCCCTGATCCAGCTCTGGGGAACAGCACAACATGGAGCTGTTGGAGTGAGGCCAGAGGAGGCCCCGGAGCTGCTGCGAGGGCTGGAGCAGCTCTGCTCTGGAGCCAGGCTGAGAGAGCTGGGCTGGGGCAGCTGGAGAAGAGAAGGCTCCTCAAGGGGACACCTTAGAGCAGCTCCAGTGCCTAAAGGGGCTCCAGGAAACCTGGAGAGGGG